TCGGAAATGGCCCTTCCCTGTTGAGATAACCGCTGCTTCAGCTTCGAGTACAGAAACGTGCGAACATCCAAACTCGGATAACACCACACCAACCGAGAACATGTCGGCTGTGTCATCGTATCTTTCTCCCAGCATTACTTCAGGAGCCATCCACAGCGAAGTACTGACACCTGCAGTCATCGTTCCAGCAAGGCGTTCACGAGAGATGCCAAAGTCGGAGAGTTTGGCCTCCATCGATTGATTCAGCAGAATGTTGCGGGACTTGAGATCTCGGTAGATCACAGGAGCAGCCAACGAGTGCAAGTAGGCGAGAGCATGGCAAACTTACCGAGCGACTGTACCTTTTTGCTGGTCAAATCCAGCTGGTTGCTTTGCTAATAAGAACTTATTGAGGAGAGGGCGTAGGTCTCCGTTGTCCATAAGCGCCAGAACGACGCACAGATCCGCAAAAAACTCCCAGGCCCAATAAAGGCAACAATAATATGTGGGTGGTCTATGGAGGCGGTCATTTTGGCGGAGGTTTGTAATGTGCTCGAGATTTGTACGCTTGGAGCGAATCAACGTCTTGATGACCACAGATCTGCGCTGGAAGACACTTGAGTAGACTTCGCCGCAAGCGCCTCGCAGAATTCGGTTCGCAACAATAACGTCGTGATTCCAGATTCCATAAGCAGAGTCGAGATGATTTTCGCGATCAAATTTACTATCCACGTCCGTTTTGATTGAACTCTGCGATACCAGTAAGCCACTACCAGACCCACAAAAGGAGCTCCACAACATCCAAGAACAATCTCCGCCGTTGCTCCAGTAGTCAGGTCACTACTTGTTGAGACCGCTTCAAGAATCAGGGGGGGGGGGTCGTCGTCACTGCTGCTGTACCATTTGACTTGATTAGCGTCGCATGAATGGTTTGCCAGTGTTTACTTATCCACATACATTGTAACGAGAAGAGTGTCCTTTATACAGAGACTGTTGTTATAATCCTGGATTGACGCGAGTTTAGTCTGGCAATGGTGTAACCGAGTAGCGGTAGTAGGATCCGAGGCAGTTTCCCGAGGCTGAAATTGCAAAGCTGAGCTCGAAATGGTTACAGTCACCGTCTTGATATACTACATCCAACCGGTACGAAGTGCCGGGAAACGTCTGCGCATCGGAGTGATGTAGTCTGTTGTACCACGCGACCAACATCATCTCAGCGGTGGTATTCTCCTTGTAGTCCGAGCAAGTGATGGTGGTGCAGGTGGAATTATTATCCGTAGTACCGACGAAGTAGGGTGTGCCGTTTCAAGTGATGGCAGCGTAGCGAGCCAAGGTCGCGCAAGTTGTTGCCGTCACAGACGGGTAGAAACAGAGTGTTGACATGATCCATAACAGGAATTGGGGCCCCATTTTACGTTTCAATCGAGTTGATTCTACCCGAGAGATAAGGAAATGAAGCAGAGCTACTTTTTGTCGGAGCGGTTGGCTTGGTGATTATTGCTCGGTCAAGTATTCGGATTGAGATTCGCTGGAAGGGTGCTGCGAGGGCTTCGAGGTTACACCGGACTTAACCAGTGGATCACAGCAAAGAAAGGCATTTTGTTGGTACGTTCTTGTTCGAAGTACCACGCACAAACATTTGAGGTGCCTGCAAGCCATTACTGTTCAATTCTCTTGAATCCCATCACGCATTCGCGTCACGGGGCAGTTCAGCTTTGCTAACGTCAACGTCTCACAAAAAATATCATTGAGAGTCCCTTTAGGCGGTGCAGACTGTATTAATACTACTCTGAAGTATGAGCTCATCCACTTGGCAGAGCGACCAAGATATCTGTACTTGAGTTCCCGAGCTCTTCACATGATTTCTAGTTAATTAATTTACTTCTGTAGCCGATTGAGTCCGAGAAGGTTTTTCAACGACAGAATCAGTTGGAGCTTGTACAGTGCCTCTGCTGCAGTGGGGCGCTCTGTCGGATACACCGATGTGCACGCTCGACCAAGCTCTACTATCGCCTCCGGACAAGCATCAGAAAACTCGACTTTCACGATGCCCAACGCCACTCGCTGTAGCAAGATTGAGTCGGGTATGGGGTTGCCCTTCGCGTCTAAATTCTCTTTCTTCGCTGTAGCGTATGGTAACGAGTGGACGTCCAACTCAGACAGCACCACCCCGAAAGAGAACACATCCGCTTTGTCATCGTAGCGTTCGCCAAGCATAACTTCGGGCGCCATCCAGAGAGAAGTCCCAACGCCAGCAGTCATAGTTTTGTCGAGTCGTTCTCGAGATATTCCAAAGTCCGAAAGCTTCGCCTTCATATCACTGCTTAATAAAATATTCCTCGACTTGAGATCTCTGTGGATAATCGACGGTGACAGGGAGTGAAGATAAGTCAGGGCGTGGCAGACTTCCAGTGCAATTGTCGTCTTCTCTCTGGTGAATCCGATCGGGT